CAACACTGTCCAAATAAATAAATGGTGAGGGGCTTATTCAGAGCGTTTTTGTCGGTTTCCTTCACTTTTTTCCCCACTGACTAGCCACTTAGCATTTACATCTTTCACCTTCAAGTCACGCTGCCCACGTCTTTCCGTAGTAGGAAACGCACAATTTTCAGGATTGAATAACATGAACTTCTGCTCACCTTCGTTGATTAGCTTGATGCACCGCTTCTAGAGTCACGTCGATGCCTGTGAAGTTTGACTTCGGATAAGTTTCCGCTGAAAGTAGCTTACTAAATTACAGTCAATTTCTATCTCGGATAGATCATTTCTCCTGCCCTCTTTGAGAGTCGAACTTTATTTTACTTCTCAAGGCAACTCGAGGCAATATTTAGGGAATCTGGCGCCTCTACAGTGTGCTGTTCAACTAAAGCATGGAGTGGTTAAGAAGCTCTTGAAGAGGTCATATCTAGTTCGGTTCCTGCCCCTCTCCACCTCGCGCTCAACGTGTTATCATGCAGGGTACTGGAGGTATGGAGAAGCGGCCGTAAGCCAGCATACTTAACTTTTGACACTGAAAACGATCTTTTACGGTCAGAAAAACTCTATAAGGAAAGATTTCTGCAACTGAGGTTCAACTCCCGGAAGAATCTTGACGAAGATTTTCCGAAATCAAGGTCCCTCCGTACGTATCTACACGGTGTACAGCGAAAGCTTTGGGTGATTTCCGCCCTTCTGCGCAACAAGCTACGATTCACTCAGGGTACGGCGTAGTTGCGCAATTATAAACCGAGGTCTCGCCTTTGGTTTGGTTCACCTCACGGTCGACAAATTCTCTCCCTGAGAAGGTAGAGGAAGCGGAAGGAAAAGTGGAGGTAAGCGTAGGTGTGGTGGTAGTACTGCATGCGTTGAACCACCCCCCCCCCACTAGATAGGCTATGTGAAGCAATTTCTGCTTCTTTAGTTTGCGACTAATTGATATCAGAAAAAAGAGAACCCCTGAAGCGTACCCAGAAGTGCAGCGTGGAAACCACTACCGCATCCAACATCCAAGCACATCATCTCTCCGTTCTCGAGGCGTGACTAAACCAACAATTGTACTAGTAAATATGCGGCTAAAGCACAGGCAGGGCACATCATTGGTTGGGGACTTTGGTTCTATACGACCCCCCCCCTTTTTTTTGGGAGTTGGTACGACCCCCCCCCAGCCCTCTGTCCTTCCTCATCGAATCGAGCCGTCGAGCGGGGAGGGGGGGGGGGAGGTGGCGGTCGATGCGTTGCCTGCTTCATTGCAGGTGGGGAAAGGGGCTGACGCCGCGCCAAAATCCACACCTCACTGACACGCCCCGACCGACATTCAGTGACAGCAGCTGTACAATTACTTCCGCTCCAGGCAAACAAGCCCGCAACCGTGAAGACCGAACCAGAAGAAAAGGTTCAGCATGGTGCCAAGA